AGAAGACCTCTGATCCCAAAGATGAAGATGAACTCAGAGATAGGTGAAGAGAATGTTTGCTTTTGAACAGCTCATCATTAAAATAGCACCCCATAAAGTTGACATGGCCCATGAAAGCAGCAGTGGGAAAGCTGTAAGTCACGGGAGGGACTTTCACACTGCAAAACAGATTTTTCTTTCCCAGATTTGCTGTAACATTGAAGCCACAAGAGAACTGTTTCTTGTGGAGAAGTCTCCATGGCATGGCAAGAGAGATTCCTCTCCCTAAGTGAGCTGAAGAAAGACAATTTTAGAGGTGGTAAACTGATGGAAAGTCCTAAGTTTTGTCTCTTTATATTGTCAGTGGGAAAGAAAAAAGGGTGTGGAGGGAAGAGAAGTGTTCTGAAGCAAGTATTCTGCTTGCTTTTTTTTTTTTTTCCTCTTAATTCTGCTAATAAAGTTTCCTTTATACTCTTTAAAGTTTGAGCCTGCTTTGCTCTCCTCCTAATCCTATCTCACAGCAGAAAATGAGTAAATAATTCTAAAGGGTGCATGGGCATTTGGCCAGCATTAGACCCACTTCCTTAAATTGGTACCTTGGACAGGAAACTTAAATTGGTGAACTAAAACCACTACAGTGTAAAGGGCTGTGCAGAGGAGGTCAGATCTCCAATGGGATCAGCATTGCTGGGCTCCACAGTACAGTGATCTGCCATGGCACAGCCCCCAGCAGCAAGTGGAACAACTTTCTGTGTAACATCAGAGGCTTTGACTCAAACTGGACTCCCGAGAGAACTCTGGAGGCCCAGGGCTTCAGTGGTGCCTGGGGTAGTAGGAGATGGTCTTGTACGCATGTATGTAGGAGATGTGTAGGATATGCATCACCAAGTAATAGAGCTGAAGTTGAAATCAGATTGCAGGAGGAAGACAAGTGACACAAGTGGGGGCTGTGGGGGGTGGAGGCCTCCATCTGTTGACATGACTGACTTGTCTAGGGAGGCTTGCTGCTTCCCAGAGCTATGAATCTGGGACGTTGTGGAATGACTGCTAAGCCTTGTCTGACCCTCAGACTACTATGCCTTGCTGCTCTTCCATGTTGGTACCAATGAAACTGGACCTGGAATATATCAAACATGACTACAGAGCATTGGGGATGAGAGTAAAGGGCATGGTGGCCCTTCTTGATTTTGATTATTTTCTTGATCGTGGCAATGACCAGGAAGGATTTGAGGGAAAATGGCAGATGCTGAGGGTCAGGAACTCTTTACACAGCTGGTGTTAATAGCAGTTTGTTTTTTTATTATAGTGGAAATCTCTTTGAGGAGAAAGGACTTCTAGAAAGACAGTGTCTATCTCTCTAGGTGGGGAAGAAACATTTCTGTTAACTGGCAGGTCAAACTGGAGAGAAGAACTTTAAATAAGAAACAGCCAAGGAGTGAGAGGATGACAGGGCCAACGAGATTGGTAAGAAAAGTGTGCAGTGTGATGTGAAGACAAAATAATCAACGGCTAATAAAATAATAAGGCTGAAGGGGTTCCAGAAGGGGCCCCAGGTCAAGTGTTTCAGGCTTCCACAGCAAAGAAAGCCAAGAGCATCCTGGGCTCAAATAGAGCAATGCCACAATCAGAGGTTCATTATCTTCCTCATCTGCTTAACCTGGTGAGACATATTTGGAATCCTGGATCCAAGCCTGTACTCTTAAGTGCAAGACAGATATGGACTTCTCAAGTGAGTTTAGCAAAGACCCATGAAAATGATTAAGAGTCCGGAACCTTTGACAAGTGATGGAATGCTGAGAGAGCTGGGACTGTTCAACATGGAGAAGTCTCAGGGGTATGTCACCAATGTGTAAAACTGGAGGCAGATTCTTCTTACTGGTGCCCAGTAACAGGAAAAGAACCAACAGAAACAAACTTAAATACAAGAAATTCCATTTAAACAGAAAAACACCTATTTTTTTTTTTATTTTTATTTATTTTTAGCAATAGTGTGCTAAAAGAAAACCTCAATATACCTAGAGAGGCTGTGCAGTTTCTGTCCTCAGAGATGTTCAAAACCTGACTGGACATGGTCCTAAACAACCTTTTCTAGCTGACTTTACTTTGAACATGGACATTTGATTTCAGTATTTGATCTTCAGTAGTGCCTCCCAACCTCAAAAGTGATTTTGTGAGTGCTTCAAGTTTAACAGCACAGGTTTGAGCCTCTGACAAAAAGATATTAAGAGTGCAAGGAGGTAAGAAATCACAGTATATAAACCTTTTCACAAACTTACCAAGCTGCTGAATGGTCTTCTGTTTTCATAGACTTTAAAAAAACCCAGAGATGGATATAACATATCTAAACCACGGGTTTCTATCAGAAACTTTCCTAGTTTCTACCTATTTTATGGTGGGACTTAAAATTCTCACAATTCTAAAACCCATAGCTACACCACATTTTATAGATGAGAGAGATACAAGTCATGAAATCAAGAGTCTTAGAAGTCAAATCCTGAAGTGGGGATTCCTGTGACCCCAGTGAGACCTCATTCACAGAGGAGCACCGGCATTTTTTGTGCACCTGATCCTCACAGAGTATGGGAAGCTGAAAGGTCCTTGATTTATTGTAGGCACTACTTAAATACAGTCAAAACATCAGTGTGTCATCAAGATTATTCTCATACTAAATCTGAAACACAGCACTGTGCCAGCTACTGGGGAAAAAAACCCCAAAAACAACACAACTCTATCCCAGCCAAAACCAGGACAGACATCTGTTAAAGATCCTTCAATAGATAGAAAACTGCATCAGATTTAAATTAGCATGGTTCATTTGAGCAGAGAATGGAATTTGCTGGTACTGTTGCCAAAGCTACACTTCCAGCTTTCTATCTTCAAATCACTTTGTTCAGATATCTGGAGCCCAGCCTTGGGGAGGAGTAAGGCTGCAATTTGGGTATGGAGCAGAGAATGCTGATAAAGAACTCACAAGTGGAGCAGGCACAACTTGCACCACAGGCTGAGCAGCAGCTTGAAACCTCGCCTCACTGCTGAAGAGCGTTAAAAATTCCTGTTCGTTGAGGTGTAGCTAAAGTGAAACACCTGCCTGGCTAACAAATTACCTCGTGTAAAAAAAAAAAAACAACTGAACTGCAATATTTAAAGTTAACATTTTAAGAATTAGGGATTGGATAGTATTGTTTCTCAACTTAGTTGTCTATATTATTTTCTCTGTTAGCAAAACGCTGTTAGGCAAGCTAGTTGATTAGTATGTATAAATAGAGAAAATTAGCTCACCAAATGCCAGCAGGTTTAGCTTAAATTTTCCTCAGCTCCTGGGTGAAGATTTAGGCCACTGTTTTGTCAGCAGATATAAAGCTTCATCCAAGTTGCTGTCAATCCACCTTGAGAGGTAAGATATCAGGATCTTCTGCAAATCATTAAGGTCCTTACTTTCTATTACAAATGCTGATGAATCCTGCTCCCTTTAGAGATTTTGGAACATTGGAGAAACTTGGAGAGAAATCATAGAATCACAGAGTAGATTAGGTTGGAAAGAACATTAAAAGTCAACCAGTTTCACCCTGCTTTCATGGGCAGGAACACTTTCCACTAGATCAGGTTGCTCAAACCCCCCATCAAAGCCTTGGCTTTGAACACTTCCCAGAATAGGGCATCCACAGTTTTTCAGGGCAACCTGTTCCAATGTTTCACCACCCCCATAATAAAAAGTTTTTTCCTAACAGCTAATCTAAACCTACTCTCTTTTAGTTTAAAGTCATTATCCTTGTCCTATCTCTACATGTCCTTGTAAAAATACCCTCTCCCTTTCTCTTGTAGGCCCCCTTCAGGTACTGGAAGGCTATTCCCTAGAACCTTCTCCAGCCTGACCCTACCTCACTCTTCATAGGTGTCATGGTTTTAAACCTGTAACTAAAAAAATTACTTATTTCTTGCTGTGAGATATGGATTAGAGCAAGAGCAAAACAGGCTTAAAACTTAAAAAGGAATAAAGAAAGTTTATTAACAAACTACAAGAATAAGAACACCAGAATAAACTTCCAGAAAACCCTTTTTATCCCCTACTACCCACCATTCCCTTGTTCACATGACAACAGAGAAAAAAAACTTTGAAACTTTGGTGTTTAAAACAGTCCAATTTCTGCTACAGTCTTTTCACCAGTCTTTGTAGAGAAACAGATGTCTTCTTCTGCTAATCTATGGAGTTTTCCACAAGAAAGCTATTTCTTTAGCTTTCTATTTTTCTGATGCTAGTTGCCCGAAAAGCCTGTCATCAGTTCACTCCTCCCATTTCACATCACTCTGAGGTGTGTATGGGTCATAAGTCTAGGGGTGTCATTTTAAGGATGAGTTATTCAAAGGCAAAAGTCTTCATCTATCTCTGTGAGCTCCACTGGAAAAGTTTTCTCATTGCCCCCCAAGGCTTCAAATTTTCACTTCACTCTGTTCCAGCACTTCACTGTATCACAATTACTCTACTTTTTACTCAAAATCCACACTTTGAACACTCTATTCCTCCCTATATCCTGTCATGAATTAAAGGAGTTTTTTCAAGACCTTATTGTCCATCTCCATAGCTTTAACAGAAAAATATTTCAGCTTATAAAGCATCTCCTTATTCTCTACCTTTTCTGAAGCTTAATTCTTTTCTTTACTGTCTCTGATAGTTTATAAAGTCTCTTTACATGTTGATTACTCTCCTTTTCTCTCTCTGGATAAAAGGATTAATCTGCAAGTCTCATCTGGGTAATGAAAGGGTTAAAATCTTGCCCAGGCTTTGTAGATGGCTCTGTGATCTCTGCCGGAGCAGCAGCTGGAGCTGTCTGCAATGGAAGATTCTTCATGGCTGCTCTGGAGAGTGTGGTCACTGGCTCAGCACACCACAGGTCAAGAGCTTTTTTTCTTTTCTTTTCTCGACAGTCTCTGGTGAATTCAGTCACAGCAAAAACTGCAGCCGAGCCAGGGAGCGGCCTGGCCCGACCAGAGCCCGGGGCAAGCCCCGCAGGCCCCATCTCCCGGCCGGGAGCCGCTGGGCCCAGCCCAGCTCCTGCCAGGGCCGCAGGGCCTGGACAGGGGAACGGGAGGCCAGCTGGAGCTCTGTCACCTTTCACAGCCAGGGAACAAAGAGAACAAGAGAGCTCTGACTTTACATTTTAAGGTAGGGTTCACAAGTTGATCTCACTTTTTAATGGTTAAAACTGCTGTCAATTCTTAGAAATGACTGATAATTGGTCAGGAGGAAAGACTCTCATCAGCCACCAGAAGCTTCAACTTCCCTAGCTCCCAAAGCTATCTTAAAGGTAAAGTCACCCCATGACAGTAGGAAAGATGCTACAGTCCTCTGATAATAGGATCAAATCCTATGAACATGACTTTGTTACTTGATTTCTATCAAAATTAATGGGAAGTAGAAAGTTTTTTTAAATCTGTCTGTTATTTATTTGTAGTTTTAGGCATTTGAATTCCTAGCAAAATTCGTCTTATAGAATCTTAAAAAAATAATAAAGAAATAAATAAATGAACTCTAAAGATGTGGTTGTCTTCTGACTTACCAGAAAGAGTCTTTGAAATAAGGTAAGGAAATCTCCCCAAGAACTGCAACAATATGTATAGCCGTAAAAAAATGGAAATAGAATTTTTTCCAATATTATAAAAAGCAGCAAAAGATGGGAAAAAGAAGCCAGGGGCTAGAGGTGGAGGAAGTGCTACTTGCAAAGTTAGTATTTTTCTTTGAGAGGGTCTACCTGTGGTCTTGCCTGTATTACTGTTGAAATAAAAACTCAGAACAGGAAAAGTTTGAACACTTTTGTATGTAAACCTCCCTTGGGGCAAATGCACCTGCTCATGTTATGTCTTTCCAAAGCAATGGGTAACTGGTTTAATTTAGTTAACGGACTGATGCTTTAGAATACTGCTCCACTGGTTTGCACAGCTTTAATACTTTCCTAAAGTTTAAATTAGAATTTTGACTTATGCTGAACTTTTGAAATTACTTTATCTGATATATAAATCCAGTTGCTCAATGCTAGTAAAAATGCTAATTATTACTTAAGTCCAAATATAAGTTGAGTTTGTAAAATGCAATATAGTCAGATTTTTAAAGTATTTTTATAATGTACTTTTGAAAATGTCATAAAATTTTAAGACACTAATAATTCTACTACTTGACAGCATTATGAATTATGAACAAATCATGTTCTCCTTCCACTCCCTTTTGAAGGATGCTTTTAATGCACGTAATAAGCAAAAGTTTCAAGTTCTTAAAATACGGCTTTCTTGGTCAAACTAGCTTTAATAAAATCAAGACAGAGCCACTGTGAGCTGCCACAGAGTTGTACATTGGACATAAATGAAAAAAAAAAATCAATGGAGGAAGAGGGGAAGAAAGTAAAAGGAGTAGATATTTTTAATTAGTGGAAGTTCTACACTGCTATAATTTAAAAGAAGAAAGGAAGAGAATTAAAAAGGAGGTGATCTAACAAGTTTTACAGTGACTTTGTTTTTAGGTTTTTTTCAATTGTGTACCAAAAGAATTTAACAAACACTTGAATCGTAATGGTGATGGTAGAAATTCCTTGTCATGTTTCTGTTCACCTGTTTATTTCAATTATTTATTGAATTTATTTCAGTGTTCTGGGCTTGATAGGAGTTCACGTTGATGTATTTCTGTGTGCACTTTTCTCTCAAAAAGTAAACTAACATGCAAAGCACTGAATGAGCTTTATGCTTCACAGAAAATGTGCATGAGCAGTACTGAATGAGGTTGGTATTTTATGTCTCCACTGTATTGCACAAGGTGTTGCAATAATATAGATCTAAAAGATGATTTATAACCCCCCAAAAAAACACAGAACCCAGATAAAGATCCAAACAGCTAGCAGACTTTTGTCTTGGTCTTGGCTTCATTGTAGGAGTATAGATTGTGCTTTGGAGATGGTAAATGAAACCTTTCATTTGAAATGGCACCTAAAAAGTCATTCAAGAAAGAATGAAATAAAGCAGCAACTAAGAACTTGTAAAAGATCCTTTAAACTGAAATACCTGAATTAGTCACATTAAAAAAAAAAAATCATCAGAATGTCTTATAAAATAGATTAATTACAAAGTTAGACTATAAGATTGATCTAATCTACCTAAAGACAAACAAGAAGTTAGAGATAAAAATGTTTTTACAGTTGGACTAGACGATCTTATAGGTCTTTCTCAACCTAAACAATTCTATGATTCTATTTTCCATCTAATATTAAATTAATCATATTTTAGTAACTGGATAACAAAAGCATAACTAACATAATGTTCTCACATTCCCTCCAAGGTTTCCACGTAAAGGAGGGATGATATCCTTAATATTGAGCATGTTAAGATCTAAAACTTGGGTAAGACTTAAGCAAAAAATCACCAATTTTTTGTTTCAGAACTTGACATTAAGAATTCTATCTTTCCGTTAATCCATAATTGCACATTTTATTTTATGTTTCTATTGTGTGGTCATTTGTTATATCATCTTTTTTTTTCATAAAACTTTGAAAATACTTCTTTGGAGAAATTGATTTTTTTGGATAAACTCCTTGTTCTCCTGATAAGCAATTAATGTCAATTAATATCAGCAATGTGCAGATGTCCATGGATTTGTGTGACTGGGTATGTAGTCAAGTTACTGAAGCAATAGATGAGTTCACATTTTCCCAGTGAATAGTGCAGAAGGGGTTATCAAGAACAAATGTGTAACATAAATCTGTATACTTTACATGTCAATATATTATCAGCATGAAATCCAAAATGGACAGTTTAGGACAAAAGAAAGTTCCCAGAGTGTTGCAGGCAGATCACAGTTTATGCAGTCAAGACAGCCTCAATTAGTCAACTTTCATAATAATTCCTGGAAGAGTTAAAATTAAACCAGTCATAGAAATGTAGAATGGTTTGGATTGGAAGGAACTGCTGTGTGCAGGGACATCGTCGACTAGACCAGGTTGCTCAGACCTCCTTCAATCTGGCCTGGAACACTTCCAGGGATGGGGCATCCACAGCTTCTGAGGCGTGTTGCAGTGCCTCACCACCCTAGCAGTAAAGAATTTCTTCCTAATATCTAATCTAAACCTACTCTCTTTCAGCTTGAAACCATTCCCCCTTGTCCTGTCACTACATACTCTTGTAAATAGTCTCTCTCCCTCTTTCTTGCAGGGTCCCTTCAGATGGAAGGCCACAATTAGGTCCCCCTGAAGCCTTTTCTTTTCCAGGCTGAATGCCTGGCAATACTCAGAATAGACTGTAAGAGTGAAGAGTAAATTATCTTTAAACCAGTAATGTGAAACTTAGAGAGAGATGAATTAGCACTGAATTAGTAATTAAAATATTTATTTTCACGTTTAAAGTGTTATTAAAGTTGTTTGTTGTTTTGACAGGGAATGAGGTTGTTGACATATCTCTTATGAGAAATTAGCCATAAATATTATAGCTTTCAATTCAAGAGTGGCATGAATTTGATTGTTAACCTTCCTTTCACATATGCTTTTTAAAATGAACATATCCATAAATGCTCTTTAATATCTTTATTTCTATTAAAATCTTTCAGGGCCACTAAGATCAAGCTTAGGTCAAGCAAGAGATTTGAGTTTTTGATTTGGTTATCATAAGAGCTTCTTAGTTTCTGACAAGTTGCAGTTGATCTAACACAATTTCATAACCTCTCATCCTGTGAGAAGATAAATTGAAAGTTATTTTATGACCTGATAGATATATTATAATATCCATTTCTCTCTTCATGCCTGGAAGAACAAACAAATATTTTTCTACGTTGTTTTTGAATACCTAAGATGTTTATAAACTGCAGCAGACTATGTATGCCCCAGCTAATATTGTTTTAATATCATAAAGCTGCCCTGGAGTGAAAATATCAATTTCTGTGGCAGATTACTGGAAAATTCTAGTCAAAGCAATTATCTATGGTTATTTTCAGGCTTGTAGATCATTCATTATTAATGGATGAGTTAATTAAATTAATTTCAGTGAAAATGTTGAGACAGAGCAATTCCTGTTGAGGTAATATGCCAAGATATACCAGGAGATGTCTGCTTCTTCATTAATTTTGTCTTGATTGAGGTTAGGTGGATCCCTCTGAGAGGCTCTTAGCAAGCCTTAGTCCTTTAGGTGAGAATCAATTTCTACTAAAGGCAGTCTTGTGTACAGCATGGATATGTTTTTCTCATAGATCAAACAAGAAATTAAGAGTTACATTAAGATTTTCTATATTTTAACTACTTTTAATTTGCTAAGCATGAAGCTGCTCTGGCGAGTAGAATAGATTTTGTGACCTTGAATTAAGTTTGACCTCTGGGTGCTTAGTTTAAGTTTTCAGTAGCTTCTATTTCAAGAACAGATGAGTAGAGACAATTATTAACAGGAGAGCAAGTCCCTTGAGCTCCAGCTGTTTCAGGCCATCAGGGATGACTGAGCAGTGCAGTGCTCATGATACCTACTAGAGAGCTTTCAGCATTTAAATTTCCCATCTTGCCTCTTGTACAGCTAGGAAACATAACCTAATTAGTTTTTTCATCTTTTTCTTGTTCATGAGGAAAGACATACTGACAGCAATTTAATTAGATGTTGATAAAACTTTTGGTAGTGAAAAGAACTGGAGATGTTCACAAAAGCAGAGATTTCATGCCCTGCTCGGTGGGCTCAGCCTGTGTGTAGATTAAGACCATATTGAGTGCGGTTTTGGGGAGGGACAGGTGCTATTTTTTGTTGTTGTTTCTTGTTTCATTGTTTGATGGTGTTTTGCTGTTTGTTTGGGGGGTGGGGTGGTTTTTTGTTGTTGTTCTTGTTTGGGTTTTTTTGTTCTTTTCTTTATGTTTTTGTGGGTTTTTTAAGTGAGTAAGGTCTTTCATAGAACATGCTGGAAGTTTGATTATCTGCCAGACAGAACCTAAGACTATGTAGTCTTCTTCGATTGTCCTGAAGTCAATACAAAGAGCTTTAACTCTTGCTTGTCGATAGAGAGGATGAAGGAAGTTCCTTTTCTTTGATCTTTCTCCAGGATGCAGTCTGCTGGGAGACACATGGCCAATTAAGCCATACACTAAGATCACTTTCAGTTGCATAATTCCCTTCTGTCACAGAATACAGCATGGTTGAAGTTAGAAGGAACAACTTAAAGCTGGCTGTCCAGGACCGTGTCTAGATGACTTTTCAAGGGACAACCTCTGGGCAGCCTCTACCAGGACTCAGTCACACTCTCAGTAAAAAATTGTTTTCTGATGTTCAGGTGGAACCTCTTCTGTTCCAGTTTGCCTCTCATCTGTCACTGGTCACAGCTAAGAAGAGTCTGGCTCTGTCCTCTTTGCACCCTTCTGTCAGGTGTTGGTGATATCCATTCTAAGCTTTCTCTTTTCAAGGCTAACCAGCCCCAGCTCTCTCAGCCTTTCCTCATTGGTGAGATGCTCCAATCCCCTCATCATCTTCAAGCTTGTCACTTTACTGTTTCTGGTATGTCAGTGTCTCTCATACTGGACACACTATTCAAGGTGTGGCCTCACCAGAATTTGTAATGAAAATATGTTTTGCTTAAACAATAGCAAAATGTAAAAGATGGTGATGTAATTTTGGCCATACACTAAAATGCTGCCAGGATAGCAGGGGAGCAGTGGCTCCCTAAGGCCCTGAGTGAGTGCCAAGGGTTCCATCTCACGTGTCTGGGCAAATCCTGCAGCCAGACCCCAGCACAGTGCCCCAGCCAGAAGCAGGGCAGCCAAGGAGACAGGAGCAACCCCAGCCCCTGGCATCTGACAACTCACTGGAGATGAAAATGGCTTGATGCCTGGCCAGGGTTTGGGCTTCCAGATGAGCCCAGCTCAGCAGAACCCATGGCCAGGCAGGGCAGGGCTGTGGGGAGCTAGAAGTGGGCCTGCTGTGGCATCACTGGGGCAGGGGCTGATGGCCCTTGGGGCTGAAATGGGTCCTAGGCCATGGACAGAGTAGAAGGAACCCTGTGGGACTGGGCAAAGATGGTGAGGGCTAGCAGGGCTCACAGGGACATCAAAAATTCTTACCATTGATTGTATCTTTATACACATTTTGGGTCTATATGGGACTGTGAGATTGATTCTAATGCAAGGAGATTCTATCTAAAACAATCATTGTGATGACATAAAGTGTTATATTCCACGGTTCTGTTTATTATGTAATTTATTTTTTTTTTAATTTATTTTAAAGAATAGCTGCCAGTTATGTCTACAATAACCCAAAGCATCACTGTGAATCTTACTTTTCTTGTGTATTCATGCCATATTTAATTGCTTGGTATGAAGCTATTTGGTTAAGGTGACCTTGCCACAGTGACTTGATTTCTCATAAAGAGAAAAGTGAAGAGTAGGAGAGGCTCTTCCCAGAAATTAATCTTGCACCTAAATTACAAGGCTTTTACATCCAGACACATAGACATAAAATGTATTCATCTTGGTGTCAACTTTGACATTTTTCTTTTTTCTCTCTTTTCCAAATGAAAACACAATAAAATTTATTTAATTAATAAGCAGATGAAAACTTGCTTCACACAAGCAGCTAAAGCTGACAATCAAATATTTGGGGGTTTCAATCTGTGTTGGCCAGAAACTTGGACTGAAGATGACAGAAGTGAGGGAGACAAGGTGTTATTTATAGGTGTTAAAGCAGAGGTGACTTTTTTTCTCCCCAGGGTCCATCTCAAAAAACACTATGAGGACAAGAAGAAACGGGGTAACTAGAGCCAAGAGAGGAGAGCCACTTTCAGCAACAGAAGAGACTCTGAAGCCAGGAAGTGAGATATTTCAGGAAAATTAATCTGACACAGAGGTCCACACTGAGATATACTCAGACTTTGTGAAGGCAAAAAGTAATTTCAAAATGGGCAATAAATTGCTGCTATTCCTAAAAAATCATTCACTCTACTTCCATCATCATCTGCTAGTCCTCACATACTCTTCCTGTTCTCAGTCCATTACCTTGCCAAAACCATGTTTCATTTTAAACCACCACAAGACACAGTGGGGGTGGAAATAAGAGCCAGGGAAAAGCAAGGAGGTGTTAAGATTGCTGCTTTTGATGCTTCATGGCTTCCATCTCCTAAGTGTGGTTGTATAAGTACAGCCTGGGAGGAGCTGGGAGAAGAGACTGAAGAGAATAATAATGGGTATGAGATAATGGAAAAAATGAGATGCAAAATGAGAGGTAAGAGATAGAGTGAAAGACAGGCTGGAGCAAAGGGGTACTGAAGAAGACATAAGAAGTGCTTGCTATAGTGCCTCAGCATTTCCTTGGTGTCAGAAATAGTTTAATAGTTAATTAAATGGAAGATGTTCCCAGTTTTCATGTACTGTAGTTCTGTTAAACACTGAGACTCTTTTCTTATTATCATCCACCCTGTTTGTGCACAAGGTTAAGTTTTGACTATCTAAGATTTTCTAGCTTCCTGATGATCAGTTCTTCCAGAGAGTCAGTATAACTGGAAAAATTTGTCAAGAAACTTTTATGCCAAGAATTTTAAAAATAAATATCTTATTAAAAAATGCTTCAGAGGTATCAAAATTGGGAAGTAATTTTTCAAGATTAATAATCTGATTAAAATCGGCATATGAAGCACACATAATGTTAAATCAAGAGTTTCTAGTTTTCCTAACTGACTGCAAGATAAACAATACCTGCAGACATATCCTGTTTTCTACTTGATCAGTTTTTATTCCTGCATTAATACAGTGTTCTGACTCAGCTTCAGTAACGAAGTATTAATTTCCTTATGCAGTTCTGTGATGTATTCAACAGCTGACTATGGTTTTGCTTTACAGAGGGTAAGAAACAGGTTAAATTCAGAAGCTGACGTGAGAGTCTCTATTCTATACACACAAAGATGATGAATTAACAGAGTATTAACAGCTGTATTAACAGTGACAATCTTGTTCTGACTCTTGCAACCATTTCCATTGTTTGGAAAACGACCTTCTGTAAATGTATCTATTTTGCGCAAGATTTCCTTGAGCTTTTTATCATTTTTTAATGTCATTGTCTTCAAAAAGCATAGGAGAAATATAAAATAATTTTCCACTCCTTTAGAAGTCTGGCCAGAATTTTTGGGAGCTATTGACCTGTTTAAAAGCATACTACAGCAGAAGTGGTCATTGAATAAGGTGAGTTATTTTAATTGTATTGAGGAATTTCAGTGCAGTTTCAAATAATGGGATGTAGCTCTGTGATCGTTTTGAACTACATCTAGATGAGCTCTTTGCACATAACTGTGAAATCAGGAAGAAACACATAATTTCATAATAATAATTAGCTGAAAACTTGGACTTCACATCTGCTTTTGAAAACTATCACCACATAATCAATATAGGAAGGTTATAAACACGGAAGATAACCATGAAATGAAAGGTATATAAATGTGTCCAGTTTTGAGATCTTCATTCTGAAAATGTGCTGCTGCTTTGAATTGCAGTCAAAATCTCTGCAATTAAGGTGTGACATGCCCTTCTGGTAATAAAGTTTTCCAAATTATATTAGAAGCATGTGATTCTCTTACAGAATCACATGAGCCTACAATTTAAATCCTGAAGTATCATGTTTGAATTACAGTTTGTTAATTTAACTTTAATTAGAAAATCACCTTAAAGTTTATGTCCACTTTTAATGACAAGAAGCCTTCAAAGCTTCCACTCAATTGGTCTTACTTATTTAGTAGTCAGATGCATTTAAATTTTATAAATCCATTATCACTTAGGGACAGCAATATTAATCAATTAAAAATATGTTGTATATATTAAAAGCCTTTGCTCATCGAGATTGTAAAGTGTTTTCATTAAAATCTATTTTAAACTGATTAATAGGAATTTATGTATGAATTTGCTTATGTGAATGTAGATAACATTTAATGAAAGTAAAGTTCCCAAATATTTAACTTAGATAAGGAGTCAGCTTCTTGTAAAACCCAAGCTACTTAGCACAATAATCACATTATAATTTACTACACTTTTGCATAGTTAAGGAAGAAACTCAAGAAGTAATTAATTTATGTCCTTAACCTTAATTTCTTTGCAAAGTAAATGTTTTCACATTAAAAAAGTAAAGCCAAAAAACCTTAACTTTAATAGTCAACTTAAAATAGCTCAAATAAATCCATGTCCTGTAGCAAACCATGCTTGTGGTAGCTGAAGGTGCTACTTGATTGCATCCTCTTACCCACATCAACATCACAGTTCAAAGGAATCTTATGTAAAGAATAAAGCTTAATACAAATTCTTTCTTAGAGACTTCACAGAATGGTTGCTAAATTGGGAAGGCACTCTTGGAGAAAATCCAATTCAACCTTCCTTTTCAAAGTAGGGCCAACTAGAGAGCAGATTGTCTCCCTGATATAGCCTCCAAACCTCTCTGGTCAACCTGTTTTGACCACTTTCGTGGTAAGAATGATTACTTGTATGCAGAGGGTTTTCTGTATTTCAGTATGTGCTCATTGCCCCTTGGTCTCTCACTAGACATCACTGAGAAGGGTCTGTCTCTGTTTTGTTTTCTTTCCCTCCCCAGCTGATATAAATGTATTGGAAAGATGCCTTCAAACCTTTTCTTTGTGACATTAAACAATCTCAGCTCTCTTTAGCATTTCCTTATTTATCAGATGCTCAGATCATTTTAACATCTTCTTGGTTCTTCACTGGATCTGCTTTGGTATGTTAAAACATAAAAGATACATCTGGAAGGCTTTTCTATGACTTCTGCCAAAATCAATCAATATTGTACAGGCATTTTATGTTTCTTCAAAATTTTCAACCATTTAAGTCTGAAGTGGTTTTTTATTATTATTGAATTATTTACAGTTTAGATTTTGTTCTATGTGATTCTTTCAGAGGACACAAGTTACCAAAATGGATTTTTAAATCTTTATAAGTAACTTTATTTTGGTATTATTAATGTTTAAAAGATTATTAGTGGTTTAAAGGAATAGCCCAAAATCAATCTGTATCAGTGGAGCATTTAGTTTATGTAGTGTAATTTATAACTTTTATAATCAAGTCATATCTTTGTAGGTACTGGCTTGACCTGGAAAACATGCAAGTCCCACTTTTAAGTCACCTGTCTTCTACTAGACACAGTGAAGGAATGAAATAGATTGACATAGTGGGAAATAAATATGTTAAAATCTGTGATAACAACAACTCCATACTGTCAAAAACCTGTAATTGACCTTTGATGCTTCCCCTTTCACTAAATGTGCTTGCTATGTCCAGTGTTACTTTTATTTAAATAATTCAGTAGTTGAAGACATACCTCGAGTGAATTAAATTTCAAATCCCCAAATATTAATTTATGACAAGGATCACCAACTTTAGCTCAATTTAATTTCAAATCCCAAAGTGTGCATTGAAATTCCAATGAATATTTCTAATTACTCAATTTCTATATTTATAAGGGAACTGGCACCTCATAAATATTGTGCTATTATCTCCATATGTTCCTGTTCCTTCTAAATATAGCAAATCAGCAATTAGCGCAAGAAATATTCATTAAAGTTTGAAGGCAGATAAATAACAAGTAGGAATACCATTTATTTATTATAATTTACAAAGCAAAGAACATCTTAATGCCTCTCATTTGACAAATGTGCCACAAACTACCAGTTACACTGGATGCTTCAACTGAACTAGCACTAGATAAAATTTATACTGCCTTGTAAGACAATACGCTCAATGGATTTGTCTGTTTTAGCATAGCACAACACCTTGTTAAGTTTTGATTAGCCTCACCTCTTACATTAGGATTGAGAAAGACTCTTAGAGGTACTCTTTCTTTAATCCCCATGTCTAGGACTAATTTTTATTTTGTGTTGGTTTGTTTTCAAATAGAAAACAAGAACCATGACATGCACTTGGTATATTTCTTTTTTTGAGAATTTTCTGTCAAATCATAAAATCTGTGAGCCACCTGTACTGAGAGTTTAGTCAGCCTGGCAGGTGTAAACTTAGGGAATTTGCTTCAGTATACAATATAATTTCTCCAAAACATTTTCTTATAATTTGTGTACCATGTACTAGCTCTTCTCTCTTTGCACATACTAACTGTTGCACATTTGGTGATGCACTGCTTGCCAAGCAGAGCAGATGATATGCAAAGTTTTCAAAGCCTGTCTAGATACCAGTATTAAGTATAAAGACAGTGGGGTATTCATGTCTCCCTTTGCACAAAACTCTGGGAAGGTGAAAAGTCAAAACAGTATGTGTAAAAACCCCTATAAACAAGGAACTTTTTAAGCTACTAATGTACCTTTCCTACTCTCCACTCTTTCCTTGACTGTGCTTTGATTATGACTTGAATGTCTTTCCACAAAGCCTCAACTATTAGTGATACATTAGAAATATGTAATTACTCTTCCCTAAGGACTTCTTTAAACATACACTGAGAAAAATATTAAAAAGAAATACTGATTTTATAGATTCTGGAAGTAAATTATTTTTAATGACAATAGGGATAAAGAAACACTAAGAAAATCTATTGTAATCTCAGAATGTTTTTTAAAATCCCTTTAGGATTGTTTTCTCTTCTGTCAGTGTTCAGGCTTAACATGCAGATATTCACATTTCTGAGGAAATCATTCCAGTTTAGATTTGTTTCACATCTCTGTAAACAAGCATTTTTAAGTGGTATATATCTTCTTAACTAGACCTGACCTTTTTTTTCTCTGTGTGTGTGTCTCTGGGTGTGTGTCTGTGTGTGTGTGTGTATGTGCTGTAAGAGACTTAAAATTCACAATTGCCTCAAACAGCGGTAAGATCACCAAAGCACTTTGCCCACTCTGGCAAACTGCAAAGAAGCAACTGCTCATCTGCAACCACCTCCCTGCCCCCAAATATGCCTCTGCAAATACCTGGAAATTTGGACTGTGAGTTAACCTGAGAGGAGTTTAAGAGAAAATAAAGGTGCAGTTATCTCAGGCCTAAGGAGATGTTAACAAGGCTGGGAGAGGAAGAAGAATGTGCCCACTAGGAAACCCAGCTCTGCAGCTGTGCTGAAAATCAGCTCTGGGCAGGTCCAGCGGGGGGAGGCCACAGCCCACAGCCCATTCCTGAGGCCCTTCCACCAGAGGACTGCACAGGATCCACAAAAGACAGTGCAAAACTTACCCCCCTCCCAGGGGAAGTGCTTGGGCATTCCCAGTACACCCAAAGGTGTACTCTCACTTATTACACAGAATGGAAGGGAAGATTGGCCAATAGCAAAGATGAGCACAACACCTGAGATCAGAAGACTAGAACAGAGCTCAGGACGGTATGACTAGGCCACCACAGCAGCTCAAGTTTAATTTTTGTATATTGCTTAAGAATAATACCAACTTTGCTATAGATGTCTCTCTTAAATTTATCTTTATTTTAATGTGCAATTTGCTTTTCGTTTCTGGAGTGATGCTGTATGGCATATATCCAATAAAGTATGACATTTGCATAAAGCAAACATTTCCCTGCAATAATTTTATTTCTATGAATTATCAATCTTGTACAAGCATGCTTTATATTCACAACAGATATCCTCACCTCAGCTACTGAGATTGTGTCATGAGCTTAGCATTTTGAAGTAGGATAAGCAGAAAAAATTACAAAATGGAGAAAGTTTAAGCACTTAGTTCCAGACTGTGAAGCTAATCATATTTAAAGCAGGTGGTGACAACAGTTTTTCTGGCTGAATGGAGAGTAGGGTCTACTACAGAGGAATGCTGGATATGTGTACAGAAGCTTTGGGGTACGTAATGATGCATGGACTTGTAATGTATTACAACAGCTTTCCTTAAAAATAAGAATAAACCTTGGTAGAATTTAACATTACAGCCTCAAAAGGAGTAAACACTTGGAAGCACTGTATAACTCTCACCCCACATGTACTTTATGTGGCTGGATTTAGAGTATTTTATTGGGCATCAGATAAGACCACCCCTTGACTTTACTTTATATTTACTGTCTTTTTTAATGCATTGCTGAAGGTGAATAGATGTCAAGAATGATACATTAGCTAATATCTAAATGTATTCATATTGAGACATTGACGGACAGTTCTTTAAATGCAGCTGGACAGCAGGAAAATAAATGACAGAGTTCTCAGAGTGTCACTTAGAATTTCATGGTTGTCAGTCATCAGAATAAATTCCAGTATGCCTGTAATGAGGACTCTAATTATAGACATATATATATATATATATATATATAACAGGAAAACTGGTTTTCTATTTTGGTTCTTAAATTAAAAACAAAAATAATATATCTTTCAGTAACAGCTCTCCTTGTAACATTTTTACACATAGGAGTCATGTGCATGAGGCTTCTATATGAGGGCTTGAAGTATAAATGCTCATGTTTAAAACACTGCTTCAAGACCATTACATAGTTTAATTATTATTAATTGATGTATTCTCTCATAATACATGATGACTTAGACTTATTTAGTTATGATTCTGTAAGAAGATTAAATTAAATCTTTTCATTTTCAATCACTTATATTATTACTGGCAGTTATCAGATGTTACTTTTACTCTAGGTGCAATATTAATTACATTAGACCTCACAGATGGTTGTGGTCTTACAGGCTGGGTGTGCTGAATTTCCTGAGACAAAGTCGGAGGATTCACCAACAATTACCCCAAAGGTCTCCAGTGCCCTACGCTAGACATGTCCAGTTCCAGTTTCAAACCCAGTTCAGGGCACGGCTGGGCTCCTCAGCCACAGGCAGGCAGGT